TCTTAAAGGCGTTTAATGTTAGGTTCTTAACGACGTTTAATGCTAGGTTCTTAAAGGAGTTTAATGTTAGGTTCTTAACGACGTTTAATGCTGGGTTCTTAAAGGCGTTTAATGTTAGGTTCTTAACGACGTTTAATGCTGGGTTCTTAACGGTGTTTAATGCGGGGGTCTTAAAGGCGTTTAATGTTAGGTTCTTAACGACGTTTAATGCTGGGTATATATGGAAGAACTCCATTAGAACATACGTTATTTTAAGCTTTGCAAAACTTTAACAGATCTGAGCATTGAACTTGTTAACTGTGAATGCCCGTTTATTTTTTCCCGATCAAGAATTTAATTTTAAACTGATGCAACAATATAAGGCAGGCAACTGATATTGAAATTCTACTTTCAACCTCCTGTTTGTGTTGTTGGAGTATAAAGCTACGTATTTTTGATGCCTTCTTTATATTGCTCTATAACAATGGATATTACCCAATTTCGGCTATTTTTAACATCATGTTCCATAGCTTAAAAACGTCTTAAAGCAAGCAACAAAACTTTATTTGTTGTTGAATTTTGCGTAAAGCTACACGAGGTCTACTTAACCATAACTGTCTCTAATTTGAAGTAATAGACTAAGGAATATATAAATAGACAACAGTACCCACCGCCAACTCTTGGACTACTCTTCTCAAACCCCCCGTACTGCAAGTGTTGTCTGCCTCACTAGAAACTGTTGATGTTCAGCATCCGTACTGCAAGTGTTGTTTGACTCAATATAAACTGTTGATGTTCAGCATCCCTCCTGAAAGTGTTGTCTGCCTCACTATAAACTGTTGATGTTCATTATCCGTACTGCAAGTGTTGTCTGCCTTACTATAAACTGTTGATGTTCAGCATCTCTCCTGCAAGTGTTGTCTGCCTCACTAGAAACTGTTGATGTTCAGCATCTCGCCTGCAAGTGTTGTCTGCCTCACGAGAAACTATAATGGGAAGCTTCTAAATAATGTCAAATGCAATTCTCTTATTGTAAGCGTTTACCATATAATTGGCTGAAGATATTTTATACAGAACTAATAATAATGTGATATTCTAGAACTTGGCTAGGCAATCATGAAGCTAAATCTCAAATCCTGGACACTCCAATGGTCTTAGTAAGAAAAAGATATCATATGAAAATATGAATTTCATTCCTTACACTATTTAAAACGGTTACTTCTTACATTTACTGTGTATGTTTTTTGTTAGGTCAAGTGCGAACAGTGTATATGAGGTTCTATGGTTCGTGTCCCGTTTCCGCCAAAAATAAATCGCGCTCTGCACTCTAAGGTCATAGGTGCGTTATAAGACGTAAGATCATTTCCCGATATTCTGCTGAACATCAACAGTTTCTAGTGAGGCAGACAACTCTTGCAGGAGGGATGTTGAACATCAACAGTTTCTAGTGAGGCAGACAACACTTGCAGGAGGGATGTTGAACATATTCTTTGATGATTCATTCTTACTACATCAGAAATAAAGCTGTTTTTAATGCTCACAAAAACAATAATTTAGTCGTTTGAGATTCTTCCAAGATGTAAATTATCTCTTACAGGTTAACTTATTCTTCTTGGTTCGGATCATGTGGGTTCTAATAACGAAACTGAGAGCTGCCACTACGACTGAGCAGAAGCAGTACAGGTAGGAGCTGGTAATTCATTGTTTATTTGGTTTTGTGGGCATTACTTGTGCAATATAAATCTTAGTGCATAACATAAAAAAATGCTGTGACTGCTTTAAGCTTTTGCCAAAAAATGTAATCACCTATTTGTAGCGTGTATGTTATGTCAACTTAATATTTTTATTAGTGCATAACCAAATCAATGTTTCATAATAATCCTTAACATGAAGGAAGCTTTAGATAACTTCTGCAGTCTCGACAAGAAATAATTTGACGCTGAATGCTATTAGTTACAATCTACATCTGAAGATGTTTGTATGCCGAAAAAACGTATTACATTAGGAATCAAGCAGTAGGATATAGAGAGTAAATAACCATAATGTAAGGGTTTCATGGTAAGTAATTTGAAAAAGTAACAGTTTTAAAACTGAAAAAAAATTGAATAAAATAGTAGGCTGTCAGTCTTGTAGAACTTCCAACAGTTATAAGTATGTTACTGAATGTTGGACTGTGTTCTTCAAAAATCAAAAATTAAGGGGCAAAACTATTTAATTAAACAATATTTTTTTTTGCTACTCGGAAGGTAATACTGAGGGTGGCTCATAACGAACCTCACAGTAAAGGATAAGTAAACTCCGGGTAAAACACCACAGCTTTTTTTTTTCGTGATGTATTGCATCTGTGTGGTACTGAATCTATATTTCATACCAAAATGTCCGCCACCGATGTCACATGCACATTTGTCAGTAACTGATATGCGAGCTTTCCTCTATAGATTTGCGGTTAGAATCTGAAATGTGGGACTAATTCGTAGGCCACTTCGTGTCGTAAATGTCCCCATATGAAAAAGCAGCATGAAATACGACAGAATTTGAATACTTAGATTTTTTTTTAGGGTTTACTGTGACCCACTCTGTACATAAATGTGCCAAGAGAAGTATATTGTCCAGAGGTTCAGTACGTTATATTAAAATGATCTTGGAGACTTACTACGTCGCTACAGTCCGCGTCGTTACGTCCTGTCATGTTCTACCTGACGACTGTGCGTCTTGACAATAGCTCGACAACGTAATTTGCACTGCAAAAAGCTCCGTCATAAGGCTATGATATCCAATGTACACCACTCCTTCCTGAGTGCTTTCCTTAATACACCTAGTGTACGAGGATCAAAGTTTCACAGTGCATATTTAAATAGTCCTATCGCTTAGAAATCCATAGCGCTGCATCCGACGACTTGACCGATATGTCTTCGTATGAAAGAGCATAAATACCCGTTTCATTCTCTCGCTGCTTGAGATATGCGACGGTTAAACGTCAGATATGACTGGGAGCAGCCATATTGTGGTGAATCCATACTCTGTTATCTTCGTTTCTAGATGTGATCGTTCTTGATTATGTCGAGTTCTGTTGCCTGGGCCACGAAGACGGCTTTTGTTACTTATCATTATGTTCGTGGATTCTGACCTGATATTAAACACCGTACTTTCCTTGCTATGGATGTGGTATTCAAGTGTGGTCGTTACTGTGAGTGAACATAGACAGGGAATGCTATGCTGATATTTGAAAGATTTTGTTTAAAATACGATTAATAAATAAAAATTAACCCTATAAAAAATAAATATGCTTGGAAATGTTTCTGTTAACAATAATTAGAGTTGCTGATTCCACTTTAATATCCTGTTTACAAACTATACCAATCACATCAGTTCCGTTTAATTTCAGTTATACTCAGTAATCGTATCAGTTCCTTAGTTGGGTTCGGTGATTTGTTCTACCAATCATTCGAGTTCTTTTATGGGTTCTAATAATCGTATTAGTTTCTTAATTCATCTCGTTAATCTCATTTATTTGGTCTTTCTGGAATGAAAGTAAAAGCTGAGCGTCAATAAAAATATGGAACAATATAGAATAGTCTAACGTGCAGATGATACATACCCTTCGCAAAAGCGATCAATTGTAAGTGGTGTTACACTACATAGGACATTTCTAAATGTATTTCTGATACATACATTTCTACCGCAACCTTACGTCGACTGTACTTGTTTCATCATTTGCTGATTCGAATATTCAAAATCGTTTTAATATAACGTACTCCACCCTCTGTACTGATTTACAGCTACGGTTTAGGTTTCATGCGATGAAAACTTAATATTTTTCAAGAAAAGTTAAAAAATTGGTGTTGGTTTGGCTTGCATGTTACATTTTTACTAAGTATTGCAATGATAGACACAAGAAGCTCAATTAATAACGTAAACTGAATACTTATACTACTAACTCCTTCACTAGCTTTAACTGCATAATAAGATCGTTCAGAGATGAATACTTGTAGTTTTTCTTTGAAACCATGATACAAACTTCTCTCCATCTTTAGTGAACATTCTCTCATAGTTGTTGTAGCTGAGTTCAATTCTCGTATGAAACATTACTTTTCAGCTGATACTGCACATTCTCAAACATTCTGATACTGCACATTTTCAAACATTCTGATACTGCACATTTTCAAACATTCTGATACTGCACATTGTCAATCATTCTGATACTTCACATTTTCAAACATTCTGATACTGCACATTTTCAAACATTCTGATACTGCACATTCTCAATCATTCTGATACTGCACATTCTCAAACATTCTGATACTGCACATTCTCAAACATTCTGATACTGCACATTCTCAAACATTCTTCTCCATAGGAAAGCCGCCAAGGCTCTTCTTGTCTTGATCCCACTACTGGGAGTGACTTATGTTCTGGTCATTGTCACCCCGACCCATAGGACAGCCCGAATAATCTTCACCTATCTTCAAGCCACGTTGCTTTCGACTCAGGTATCGTCCAAATATTATTAAGATTAGGATTATTACAGAAAGCTGTGTAAGGCAAGTCCTAGATTTAAATAAAAATATTTCAAGGGCTAATGTGCAACTCTGAAAACATAGAAAGCTCTACATTTTAAACTTAAACAAATTTAACTCATGTACGTGACTAATATATTACTTTCATAATAATCTTAAAATTTCTGAAAAAAAATATTGGTATCAGTATCCAGAAAATAATTTTAACTCCAATTAACTGTAAAAAAAAAATAATTATGCAACAAATAAGACTATGTTTAAATAACTTATCTAAGTTACTGTTTCTAACTCTTAGTATTCACTGTTAAAATAATATTGGTATCGGTATCCAAAAATATTATTTTAACGCTCATTAACTGTAAAAAAAAAAAGAATTATGTAACAAATAAGACTATGTTTAAATAACTTATCTAACTCTTAGTATTCACAGTCAGTCACAAATGATTTACAATCACAATGTACAAAGCACGTTTCTATAAAGATGATATTGAATGCCTACTTACAAGTATCGGGAAAGATAATTAACAATATATTAATCTATTAATTCTTAAGTAACCAAAAGTAATTTATACGCGGGGCAGTCTTGGTTAATTTTAGGCCTCAGTTCTGAGGTTCTGTTCATCATTGGCTCCTGATAGATCTGATCGTGGACTTTTAGTTTGCATGTTACAATATAACGTCGAAACATGTAGAGTCGTCAACTTTTTGAAGGCCATAGATAG